TTCTCCAACAGCATCCTCACTGTGCTACAGGGTGAATCACTTTTATGTTTGTATTAGATTTTTATGTCTGCACATCTTGCTACCATTTTTCCAAACAAAAATATTTGGGTTCCGTGGGGCTCACAATCTAAGCCTGGGGTCTCTAGCATGACACCGGTGGATACCCCTTTTTGTGTATGCCGAGCTCTTTGCCCCATCTGATTAGTATTGTTCTTAAGGGTGCAGCCCTATAGACCTTGCTCTTCCTGCTCCGAAGACCCTGAAAGCAGGGTCTTCCAAGATTTCAGTGCCCCATGGAGCTGAAGTTGGCAGGGCAAGAGAAACAAAGGAAATGAGATTTGTCTCCTCATCCTTTGATTTCTTACATTTTTGCTAGGTGGGCTTTTCAGATGGCTTCTCACCATCAGGTGAGAGGACCTCAGAGGAAAGGCAAAGTGGCAAGAGGCAGCTCAGGATAAATTGCATCCTGCCTCTCCAGTTCCCTCCCTTCTTGCCCCCTGGAATGCCAATTTTTCATCCTCTTTGAGGTTGGTTTTCCAACTTTGGAGAGGCAGCAGAGTCCTGTCTCTGATCTTAGAAAGGTGTTTGCCTACTGTCCTGTGGTTCTTGGAATGCTCATCCGGGGAACATAAAATTGCCCTTTACAGACGAAGAAATGGGAGGCTACCATGCTACCCACACCATCTTTATTTCCAAAAATGCCTCTGGATCCCATGTCCCTCAGTCTCACCAGTTTGCTGCCCTCTGTGAATTGCTGTTGGAGCAGAGCAATGTGGGTTCGGATGAGTGGTTTTATATTTTGGAGCTCAGATCTCACTTCTGCCGTTTTGTGAAGGAACCACCCACAACACCATCTCACCACTCCAAATGTGGCCAGCAACCCAAAAAAGTTGGAGGTCCTTGAACTAAGCAGATGGATGGTTTGAAGGACACCACATAAATGTTAAAAACGGCATTTTAAAGACATTTTGAAAGTCTTAATTTTGTCCACCTTAATTTTGTCCATCCCATCTCCTCTCCCCACACCAAAAGCAAAACCAAGATGGGAAAATTGTAGCACCTGATAAATTCTGTGGCAGCTTTGGTGGGGTAATCAAATACACAGAATTCCTGTTTTTACCTTTAACTTCCTAATGTATTAGTCATCCCCTGGTGGCTGTTGATATATGCACTAAGTATTTATGTAGTTAGTATATGTCTTTGCATCCCAATAATCAGAGTTCTTTGAGCAATTAAACCAAAAAATAAAACATGAGAAAATATCATTTTATAACAATCAATACAAAATATATTTTACATAATATAAAAATTAAAAAACCAAATTGAACCTAGTGGCAGTGCAAAGATCTAAAATGCACCAGTGTATTTAAAACAGCAGAATATTAGACAGGGCATTAGACAGGGCTAACCTACTTGCTCCTGCCTCAGCCATTGCACCAACTTCTCAAGGGACAACTGCTTCAGTCTCAATTTGACTCTCAAACTGCAGCACAGAAGTCCATCTGCTCCTTTCTCCTCCATAATTTGCAGTCCACCACATGCAATTCCAAAGGCAGCAAATGCCCATGGCAGGTGTCTTTAACGTTAGACTGGAAAGGATGTTCAAGAGCAGGGTTGTTGAAAGGAAAATGTTGGCCATCCAACATTTGGTGTGCACAAACCCAGTCTGTGGGTTATTTGTAGGCACTTGTTGGCTCTAGGTGAGAACAGAACAGTTAAAGTTATCAAACGGCACAATCCTATGTCCTGCAGCCTCAATGCACTTATGCCTCCAAACTTGATATTTTTTCCAGATGGCTGTTTTCAGCTGCCTAGATTTAGTGCTGGGGAGGAGGCTGAGCTTGGTGTGAGTCCACAGCCCCAGTCTCCCCACTTCTGGATAGCTGGGACAACAAGACCCTGCTCCCGATTTCAGGATCTCAGAACTGGCACTCCAGAGAATCTGGGCCTCTCCAACGATATCACAAAGTTTCTTTCCTAGTCACTGCTCACCCAGGTGCTATCTGGGTCAAGACCTACTTGGCTGCACTAATGGAACTGCCTTCATCAGCATTCTCCTAGCTTTTATTCATTTTTATAGCTTGGTTCAATGCAGAATGCCCTGGAGTGAACTTTACGAATCATCTTCTTATGAAGATTTTTTGTATTCCAACCAGACACTAGATTCTAGGAGAAAAAGCGACTTCTATTTTCAGCTTGTCTACAATTAGTTTCCATCACATTGAGTTTCCTATAAAAATACGACTGGTGTCTACCAGGATTATTTGGGTAGAAAACAACCTTCAAATCTGAATTTTTCAGACTGGCAGTTCTAGCTACTGTTTCAAGTTTGCATTTCCTCCATTCTTTCAACAGACTGTTACATTTTCTACTGCTCCACAGCAATCATTAACACATTTCCTTCCAATCTGGTATGCACATACATAAAAATATTTTCTGAGCTGTTCCTAATTCAGCAACTTGTATCCATTTTAAAACCCAGCCTGGTATAGACAAGCTGCCTATTGCTAGCTGTCCAACTCACTGTTAGACCACCAAGGAACTTAACAATTACTGGAAGCTGTCCTAAACTTAGGTGGCCATTTTTCTTCTGAGTCAGCATGGAGTCCTGAAACTTATCATACTGTTGAAAGGACAGCTTCTGAAGGGGTCATTCTTCAAAGGAATCCAAAAACCAGTGCTCACATCAATGTGGTCAAATGTAGGTTTTCAAGATAAGTGTCGTTAACCCTGATGTCCTGACCAAACTCCAACTTGAGAATCAGCTCTCTCACTGAATAATCTAAATCAACATTGCTGCTTCATGTACATATTCAACATCATCTGTCCTCAGTGGTTCTTTTCAATGAGTTGAATGGCATGAAAACCATATTTTGCAAGCTCTGGATTCTGCCTTGCCATTTCAAGCAATAGTTGGCCAAATACTTTCATTATTCCTCAGAGCTCCCCATTTTTTTTGTAGTTTGTGCTTGTGGAGAATACCTCCTTTGTTGCAGCTCAGAGCTGTGTTTTCCAGCCAGCCTCCCCTGCATTCTCTTGACTCCCACTGTCCTTGGGCAAATCCTTATGCCATTGCTGGTGTTGAAGTAAGAGTCAGTTTGCTTCTGTACCCAGAGTGCCTGTGTGTGCCTGCAAAGGAATCATTTTCTCCTTTATCTTAGGCAGAAAAATTTCTTAGGGGTCTATGTTGAGGCAAATATGGAGGTTCCAACTAAGCAGAAATATCTCCTGCAGTGCAAAATGAGTGCCCCTTTCGTTGCCAGTATTTTATAATTTCAAAATAAAAATGTTCGTAAGAACAACAAAAGCGTTTAACTAGACTTAATGACATTTGTGAGGGAAATTTAATACGTCCCTACCTAGGTTATAAAGAAAACAGTTAATTAAACTGTGTCGTAGGGCGTAGTGATCACCTCCTTTGTGCCAGAATTGGATGTCTTGTTGGGAGTCCAAGACTGCCAAGGAGATGTCCCCAGTGGTGGGCCCAGTTGGCAACATCTTCCTGGGACAAGACGTCAAACGTCAAAGAATGTGAAGTTTGGAAAGATGTGAATGTGAAGTCTTGTACCTTTTCCACAAGGGCAAAACCACCAAGGCATTTTAATAAAAAGAAAGCAAAATAGTTCTGCAACGATTGGCTTTTCTTTGAGGAGGTTCTTGTCAAAAAGACAGACTTTCTTACACAGCACAAAATTCATGCATGGAACTTGCAGTGTTGCAGTGTAATGATTGATTAGCTTAAATTAGGAGCTTTCCAAGATTGTTAGGAATTATCAATGGGGACAGCTGTCTGTCAGTGATGAGTCCCTGGAACCTCAAGTCTGAGGCACAGTGTATCACTGGATACTATTTTGAGAAAGGGTCCTGCCTTAACATCTTTCTTACAGTGGAGCAACTAGGGCTGGACCTTGTAGATGAGCCAGAGTCCACAGACCCACAACTGGAGGGGCAGCAGATGAACACCCACAAAGCAACAGGTGATGGGGAAAAGCATCCTCCATTTTACTCCTGAAGCCTATGGTTTAAGTGAAGTTTAAATCCAGATTTGCACACATGCAGATAATCTTTCCTTAGGCTTGACAAGAGAAATGTTAGTTGCTTGCTTCACAACTGAAGTAATATACACACAGTGGAAGTAATGCACATGCATTGGAAGGAAGAGGCTCAACACTATTAAATTCAGACTCAAAAATTGCCTATGGCCTTAATGCTCCTGGTTAGCTACACCCTTTGGAAAACTTCAAGCTGCACTAAGTGAACCTCTGGTTTGAAGTGACTAGGTTCTTCTTCTGCTCTGATAGATTGTACATATTCTTATCAGTCAACTCTTATCTGTACATTTTCCTTACCCCATTGCAATTTTGCAGTCATTGTCAGCAATGACTGGTTGAAATATATATTTGTGTCCTTATCTTTACTTTCTTCTGAGGCAATACATATGAAGCACTTTGAAGAATAATAAAAATGCTATATAAATATTCTGTCAGCCCCCACATGAGCCAATCCACACAAATATGTATTCTGCAGCAATTTTTCTGGAGCAATTCCATGTAGGAAGAAAATATCACATTTGAAGTGGCTAGTTCCATCTTAATGAATAAGATCTTAAACATGTCACTTGCTAATATGCAGTTTTAGAGAAAGAAGGCAAGACATTTCCCTCTACCTGTTGGCCATTCTGCCTCCCTCCCACAAAAGAAAAACCAACAAATGTTCCCAATATTTAGTTTAATTTAAATCCAGACCATTATAGTATAGCTCAGCATCCCGACCTATTCATCTCTGGTTCAACCCTTCAATTAAGTGAAGTGATCTAAAATTCTGGGCACTAAAACTGCACTTTATGTTTATAAATGAAATCTGTGACTAGAGAAATGTTGAAGTTTGGAGATTTCCTGGTAAGTGTCCACTTGCTGACATCATGTCAAGGAAGCTGTGATTGGCTGGTGGAGGGTAAAAATAGTGCTTATATCCCAGTAGGATGATCAAGGACAAACACATGAACTGTTAAATCTCTGTCCCCTGACTCCTTAGAGACCAGCTTGTGAGCTTCAGGTCAGGAAGACTGCAGACTGGTAAGTGACTGTCCTCTGTATTTGGTTCTATGCAAGCCACAACCATTTTCCACTTTCTTTAGTGCTGGGTTTCTGAATTTCTGCCTCTGCTTGGAATTGACTCTGTTTCGTTTTGTAGGTGTGAATTTAAGAAAAGCATGGTTTCTATTATTTAAAGCAAAGTTTTCCTAACCAGCAGTGCCTTGCTTACCCTTAGCTCACTCTGATTTAAAGAATAAAACTGGAATTTTGCATTGTACCACCTAGAAAACAAAAGCTATTGGCTCCCTTACTTGGTTGGCTTTTATTTTGCAACATTAGCTAAAGGATATGGAAGAGGGCAGAAACCCTCCATTTAAAAAAATGGTTCTGTATAATAGTTCTATATAATAAAGCTATTCTGGAGATAAATAATAATTAAAATGTTATAGCATTTATTTAGTAGCTTTGGGTATTCGAAGTGATTTACACCCCTTATCTTAGGCATATTTATGACAACCCTATAAGGTAGGCCACTTTTAAAAACTGTACTGCACATGAGGCTGCAGCTGGCCAATGCAGTCTCCCTAAAGGCTGCTAAGGTGGTTCAAATGCTCCCTCAGCCTTGAATTCATCAGTTGGACTTAACCAAGATGCTCTTTGATGCTCTTTAATCTAGCCACTTTATGGTGATAATACAGATAACTAGGGACTCCCTGAATCACTGTTCAAATTGTGAAGACCAAATTATAAAAGCAGATACCATCAATTAAATTATATTGGGTTAGATCTAAGCTTAGTCATGCCTAGAGCAAAGCTGCTGAAATCAATGGAACAAGTTAGTAACAACTTTAGTTCTCTGGATTTAGATGGGTCTAACTTAAGGGTCAAAACAGAAATTTACTTTAAATGTATCATTAGTACTTTATTACTATGAAGAGGGGCAATGTTAACCTGCAGGGGGGAGCTTTTAAGATTCAGATCAGTTCCACTGCACCTACTCTAGAGTGAAAATGAACCAAAGACATGGCTGCCAGACACAGCTGCAAAGTAATGACTCATTCGGTCCTAAGCATGACTAAATCCATTGCTTATTTAAGGCCTTGGCGTATTTTAGAGGAGAAACAAATATGAGTTTCTGTAATCATTGTTGATTATTCCAGAATATTCCTAATATATTTGTATGACATGCTATGTCCTGAATTCAGTTTTGAGGGAGTGGGAGAGGAAGGGACATGCCTCATAATGAATTATGGATCTTATACCATCTGCAAAGGGAGTTAGGATAGGTTGGCATGCCAGTCTGCTAACAGGGTGATAATCTGAATGAGATAAAGTTGTCATCTTTGGTCTATTTTCCCCAACACCGGACTTGGGACCACTTCAGTTAGCGTTTTGGGGTTTCTGGAGGTCTGAGGTTGCAAGCCACATTCAATTAACTTTGGATTACACACCCTACCCTGATGGATTCAGTGGAGTCCTTCCAAACCAGCCTCACAAAAGCACTGCCAGATCCTCAAAAATAACAGATAGCTTGGAGCAATGGTGAAATAAGAGGTACCTATTATGTTATATGAGACTGTGATGCTCCAGAATAAGGAGGAAATTTTTAGTTTAGGGAAGGACTTTGGCCTTTGGCAGCATGTAAGTGGCCATGCCAAGCTTCCTTTTCATTTCTCATGTAAGTTCAGTCCGGAGCAGAGGAAGGTAGTGCCACAAGTGGGAAAGAGCTGTGGGGAGAGAAGGCTCCCGTGGCTTGTTGGAGACCTCGTCTCTTCTCCATATCATGTTGGAGCAGCCAAACACAGAACAGGAGGGATAGAAAGGAAAAACCTTTCCCCTCAGTGCTAAAAATCGGGGTCTTGGTCCTCTGTTCAATGGGAAACCTAGTGCATTTGCATGCAGCAATGAGGTCAGATGAAAACTTTGATCCCACACCTTTTAACCACAGAGGAAATTTGAGTAGGCTTCTGAAGCACCAAGCTGTTTATTTAGCCATTGCACTGTGGTCTTGACCACACAAACCTGGGGAGCTTGAATGGGAAAGTTCTTCAAATGCTGTTGATTGGTCCTGTTGCTGATGCACCAGAAAAAGTGCCTCAGCTTTCTATGGAAAGTATAAATGAATGGGTCTAGAGCAGTGATGCTCAAAGTGGACAGTACCGCCCCCTGGGGGTGGTAGAAATATCCAGGGGGGCAGTGATTGGTTCTTTTAAGTTTGCAGTAGAGCAGAAGACCTAACACAAAGAAAGAGGCGTGGGGGCGGGGGTAGGATTGTTGCCCAAGAGGAAAGGGGGCGACCGCTCAAAAAAACTTGGGAATCACTGATCTAGAAGAGCAGAAGGGTTGGTAAATCCATCAACTGTGTGCAACAAGGCATGATTAGACAAGAAATTCTGGTGGTGAGGAGGTAGGGACGTCCAAAAACATTGGCCTTCCACTTCTGGGTTGGGTTATAGAAGACAAGCCCTAAATGCATGTTTGTGTTGGGTTGACCTGAGTAAAATGCCCCGAGAACTTTGCCTATTGGGCAATTTCATTTATTTCATTTATGGAAATGTTAATGCTGGGTTCTTGTTCTGAAAAGTGGATAAGCAACTTGGTGAACACCTATCAGGGATTCCATTGAGTGCAACCATTCGAGTCAGTAAACCTCTTCTATATTCCTTGTCCAATATCCATCTACTCAGTAGCTAGATGGCCATTCAAAGATCAGGAAAAGAGTCTAAAATCGGGTCAGAAAAGGCAAGCCTTCCAGATACTTCCAGAGCTGAACTAAGTTTCAATCTCTGGTTTTCAAATGTAAAAATGGATCTACCAGCTCACAGTGCATCTGAAATGTTTTAGATCTAAAACATCTGTCTTTGGGGGGGAAATGGAGTACTTTGACATTTGGTGTCATTTCCACATAGTATTCAGAAAAACAGGACAGAGAACCTTGCATAAGTGTCAGGAAAAACTGTCAGAGCCAGTATGCCAGTTGCTGGGTAACATGGGCGGTTGGTTTCCACAGGTGGCTTGTTAGCTCCCCTATGAACAAAAAGCTTGGAGTCTTCTTATATTCTTTAAAGGGATCTCAACTAAATCCACATTATAGATCAGTTTCTCTTCTTATCTGACTATACAAAAATGGCTTATGATTTAGACAGGAAATCTAGAGTTTGGACAGTCCCAGAATCTGAATCCATGTTCACTGCACCTGTCACGGTAGAAGAAGAACTGACAACTTCAGTTTCTCAACTGAACCAGAGAAATCTAATGCCTGTTTCTCCTTCCTTCCTTAAGCAGCTGGTTGGTTGCTTTTCTAATGCAATAGCCAAAGCTGCTCTGTGTATGGCGGGGTTTTGACTACAGGACTCCTATATAGCTCAGGCAACGTACTGGTGAGAATAGGAGAATCATCATCATCAGGTTCTATAAGAAGCTCAGAATGTGACCCGTGTGAGAGTCTATTCCTTAAAGTGCCCTTCTCGCCATTCTGCACATTCTAGCTTAGACGATGCTTTTGTATGTCAGCCAGTCACAGATTGAGAGGGGACCCACGGGACTCAGATAATCAATCACAACCAAGAATGAAAATGAGAGTTATACCTGTTGAATCCATCTTTGGAGTTTGGTTATTAATTAGTTCTAATGCATTGTAGGCAGGGGGACCCACATGGTATTTTGGGGGCCCTGCCAAGGTGTCTTGCCCATCCTGATTAAAACAGCAACAACAACACTTTTCTTGTCGACAGCCATGCAATGGGCTTCTCTTGGTGGTGAGAGCTGTGGTTACAAAGGAGTTGCTTAGCAAGCTGAGGCTCAGACTCCACCCCCTGCCCTGCACTCCGACAAATTACCTCTCCTTTGCCACTCCTTCTATGGCACAGATTTTGCAGTCATGCTCAGGACAGTTCCTCAGTTGCCAAAGGTGCCATGACCCCAAAAGTTTGTCCACTCCTGAGTTAAGGTCTTACTAGTTTCTTTTCTCCTCAAAATGTCCATCTGAAATAGACCAGGTGGAGCAATAGCAGCCCAGAAGTGAACTTTGGAAATGCAGGTGGAAGTGACCCCAGGTGTGTAGTCTTACTCTAAACCTAAATCCACTGCAATACACCTGCCCATGGAAAGCAGATCTGTTTCAAAATCATATGCATATATAAATTTCCCCAGACAAGTGTAAGTGTGTGTGTGTGTGTGTGTGTGTGTGTGTGTGTGTGTATGCATGCATGCATGCACGCACGCACATGCGGATTTAGCTGGATCCAAATGTTCAGCCATTCACAGAGTAGACCATTCAAAACGATCATTAATTGATTACGGAATATGTAAACTACCCTGGGTTTCTTCTGGGGAAAGGGCGAGATACTAGTATATTAAACGAACAATTGAATGAACATGTGGAGGGGTGACGAGAGTTGCACTCACTGTCCCCCCTGCCTTCTTGACCCCCTACATCCATCCAGACCTTCACTCCTAGCCTCTCTTCAGATCTCTGAGCAGATACTCAGAGGTCAAGGCTTAGCCCAACGCATGTGACCTTCCTTCATCTTTGCATTCTATGCATTGTTCTGTGCATTCTTGTATGCATTCTATACATGGTTGTTAGGTGGACACGGCTGTGCAAATGTCTTCCATCACATAGCTTGTGTGAACTGTTGATTTTCTTCATGTGCACCCTCAACACAGCTACCAGCTTCCATGCCACAGGATTTCTTGAATACAAATCTCTGCCTACCAGCAGAAAGCAAGCAGTGAGAAAGCCAACCTTTTCACTTTTGGCTCCAAGCCGGGGAGCAGATGTCTAGAAGGCCTCATCCTGCACCCACATCAAATGCTCCTCTGATGGTGGCAGGACCATGAAAAGGGCCATCTCTGAAGCTCTCAGAAGCCCTGTAACTGTCTTATCATCTAAATGTCTCTAATGTGTATTTCCTTTTTTCCCCTTCTAGAAATAAGAAAAATGAGGACAGCTCTACTCTTTCTCTGCATTTTGGGATTAGCCTGTGCCTTCTCAGTGAGTAAAAATAACAATGTATTGGCAGCCCGTTTATCATTTTGTTTTGTTTTTATTGCTCTAAGTCATTTTGATCTCTTTTTTAAATAAAAAGATGAATTTTAAAAACCAGTCAATTCATCCTTCAATAACTCATTTTAGGAGTGTACAAGGCACTGAAAGAATGAACTTTCTCATGTTTGTTAACTCCAGAAGGATAGCCCATTTTAGTCACATTCATTAATGTAAATTCAGCATTCTAATTTTCCGAATTCTTTATTCATCCACCCACCCACCCACCCATTTTGTATAACACTTTTCAGCTGTTTCCCCATTAGAAATGTAATGCCTGTGATCGTCCCAAACCTGTTCTAGCCTTAGACCACTAATTTCGCTGCCACATTGTAACAGGTGGTCTCAGAGGGGGAAAAGTCAGCCACAGTTCAGATGATCACGGTGCGCTGCTGTACCCATATCCGCTATGTGCACAGGTGTGCAAACACAAATGATCGGTGGACCAGTGAACAGGATAACGCCAGTGAATCTCACCTGAGATAGATGGACGGGCAGACGGGCAGATGGATAGACAGACAGATGGGTAGATGGCCACTCATCTATGTCCCAGTTGCCTAGACATAGCCTGTAGCACTGAAAGTTGCAGCTGGTGTGGGGAGGTCATGCTCAGCACTATCCTTCAGGAAATGATTGTCACTTGGCATCCAAGGAAGAACATGACAGGTACTGATTTGTTATATTTCTACACCAAGCAATAGCCAAAGCTCTCTGGGCGGTTCACAATAAAGAAAAACCAAACCAAGTGATATTCAGATGATGCGATAGGCACAACACAGCACTCCTAAAACAAGCACGTTTCCACCAGTAGTGCATCCATTTTTAAAATCTTATATATATTTTTTTTTAAATCATAATGGATTGATATTTAAAATCTGTATCTAAAACCTTTGTGCTAGTGTTGAATGGAGCTGCAAAGTAGAAAGATGAAGGAGGCAATGTTTCTTGATCAGATTAAAAGTAATATCAATGTGAAAGTCGAGATGAAGCAAGCCCTGATGTTTATTAATACAGCTAGCTTGACTGGGGAATGCAGGTGCTGACTGTAAATCCTGTTCCTTCCTGATAGGTCCTGGCTTAGTTTTAAGTGGTAGCATAATATATGCCTTTCTGTGACCAAAGCTGGTGTTTTATACCAAAATGTTTTTAACATACACACATGTATGTATACCTGAAAAGATCTATAAAACATTAAGAAAAATATTTTTTTAATCTTTAAATCTATAAGTTATAATTAAATGCACTAGTTGGCTATTTCTATCTGGAACAGTGAAAACCATAAAATGCATCACTATAGATATATAGTCAAGGCTATGGTTTTCCCAGTTGCAATGTATGGCTGTGAAAGTTGGACCATAAGGAAGGCTGAGCGCCGAAGAATTGAGGCCTTTGAATTGTGGTGCTGGAGGAGACTCCTGCGAGTCCCTTGGATCTCGCGATCAAATCGGTCAGTCCTAGAGGAGATCAGCCCTGACTGCTCTTTAGAAGGCCAGATCCTGAAGATGGAACTCAAATGCTTTAGCCACCTAATGAGAAGGAAGGACTCCCTGGAGAAGAGCCTAATGCTGGGAACAATAGATGGCAAAAGAAGAAGGGGACGGCAGAGAATGAGGTGGCTAGATGGAGTCACTGAAGCAGTCAGTGTCAGCTTAGGTGGACTCCGGGGGATGGTGGAGGACAGGAAGGCCTGGAGGAATGTTGTCCATGGGGGTCACGATGGGTCGGACACTAACAACGCGACTAACAACAACAACAAATAGATATAGCATGAGAGCTTAAAATTATAGTATAAAACATAAGTAAAAACCAAAGTAAAACTGACCGGCAATGCAAGGATTTGAAATACTGTAACAGATTTTAAAATTCCCATGCTCAGGGGAAATTAGAGACTTAGAAATCCCCTTGGCATTTGCAACAATAACATTAGCTCACAGTCATTAAGGAAAGCTCTGAACCATTAATTGTACCAGGCACATGGAAATGATGGATTCGTTTAGATCCTAAGCCTGTAGTCAGATACATTGCCCTTTTTATCCAATATATAGTATCTATTTTCCATTTAAGAATATTATGGATCACATACATCCAAGTACTCAGTGTTGCATGTGTCGCTCCTGTAGCCAAGTCTTCTCGGCTGTAATTGGTAGCAGCTCTCTCCTCTCTGAAATCCTTTTGACATAAGATGCTAGCAACTGAACACATAACTTTACAGATACAAAGCATGCACCATTTTACCACTCAGCTGTGCTTTTTTGTGCAGTTGCATTCATTATCATATGATACCCATCTGGGATGCGTTCACCTCGGGATAGCTTCACAGGCATTTGTACTCCACATGGAGCGATGATAATTGGTAGTTAACTGGCAGGAAAGAAAACCACCTCCGACAACTTGGAACAATCCCTTCCTCACTCTTGCCACAGGGTTGTGCTTCTCTAGATTCCATCCACTGCTGTCCACTTATCATATGCATTACATTGTCACACGAGAAACCAGAAAACAAAGGCATGGAATACCCACGTCTTCAAGAGGTACCCAAGACGATGCATGTTTCAGCTAGCCGCCACAGAGGCCTGCATCCAAACCCAGCAAGCAATCACAGAAAGCGAATCACACCCACCTGAAGTACTCTCCTCTTTTCTTATAGGTAAAAAACTACAGAAGAAGATTTAAGGCAGAGGATACAGAAGAAAATGCAGTATGTTGTAAAATCCATCAGATTCTCCTTTTGAAATTAAACATCTTGAGACTTTTCCTAAATTCAACAATGCTTTCTCTTTCATGATAGGTATTCAAGAACCGATACAGGTACTTCCTTCACAGATATCCTTACCTCTACTCACCCATGAAAAGATTTCAGGTAAATGCAATTGTATTGATGGGTTTTTTAATTCTAAAAAATATTATTCTGTTCTGTTCCACTCCATTCCATTTATAATAATGTTGAAAGAGTTCCCCTATGTATAACCATCCAGAGATAACGTATCACAGAATCACTGAGCTCACAAACTCTGTGCGAAGGTCCTGCTGGAACTTTATGTCCTTGCCGCACACACAGCGCATTGCAAAATCTGGTGGGCTATTTGGTAGGTATTTTTGCCAAGGCATGCAAAAAGGTCGATTGCCTATGCGATGGTGGTTGCACACAATATCACCCAGCTCAGCAAAGAGCTTCAGGGAAGGAGCCAGCACATGTGGCAATATCAAGCCGCCCAGCAGGGATGACTCAGTGTGGTACTGCAAGAGATAACCCTGGCAAAAAGCACATGTGACAGGAAACAGCCATTCCATTTCTTAAAACATCCTCTGTTTTCAGAAGCACCCGCTCTGTTTCTTAAAACATAACAAACGGCAGCATAAGCCTTATGTAGTCACTCTGTATGGATGAGCTGAGAGTGAGGTGGAAGGCTGTTAATTACATGTTTCCGAGGATGGCTCGTGTAGGGAAGTAAAATTGTCTTGGTTCTGGGCATGATGCCTCAGCAGAATGGCGGTTTGGCACGTCTGTTGAGTATGGAGATATTTATATGCTGATCCATGGCATTGTGGCACCAGAAAAGCACGCTGCCCATGTCTCCCTTCCCTGTGTCCCAGCTGCAACAATCATGCATTTCTGATAACAAGAAAACAGGTCAACTCTCCATAGACGTCCGGAGATGCCCTTGCTTGAACGAACTAGATTGCTTTAGGCTATAGCTTGCTCTCTCCTTAATGCTGGGGATTTTCTGGCCTTTGGTACAGAATGTTCTACGGGTCCCCAGCCTTTTGGGATCAATAGGCACACATGGAAAGCTGAGTCACTGCTGCCATGGGCAGTTTACCCATTCATAAAGTGACTGCCACGGTGAGCATGGCTGTAAAAGCTGGAGGTATTCAAGACTCGAAACCTTATTTTATATTGTTAATTCGTTTTATATTTTTAGTGTATTATATTTTAGTTGATGTTTTGTGAGCCGCCCCGAGGCTTCGGCGAATGGGGCGGCATAGAAATTTTCTAAATAAATAAATAAACCACTTTTCTGAACCCAAATACCAAGTGAGGCCATTGTTGCTTCTAAGTCAGTGCCTAAGTTAGACACGAAATGGAAGCAGCTCTCCAGGGTTTCAGGTAGGAGAGTTTCCCAGCCCTTCCCAAAAATGTTGGGGTGCAGAACCTGGAGACTTCTGCACATGAAGCACATGCTCTTCCACACAGCATTAGCTTCCCCAAGGCCACAAACCTGTCCCTGTATAAGCTGCCTAGAATCAAACCTATGGTCTTCTGACCATTTTGGCTGAAGGTTATATGTTGAATAGCGTTCTTCCTTCATTATCCTTGTCCTGTTAAAAAGAAGAGAAGAAAAGGGGTTGGAAGAGGAACAAGTCACGAAGAGGAGACAATAAAGAACTAGCTTTTGCATGATCAACAGGCCAGACATCAAAACTTCTGGTTTTAGGAATGGAGCCTAGACCCCTCCATGGAGAAAGCATGTGGTCTGTTGCTTGCTGCATCTAATCACCCTCTTACTATCTTTTCCCTTTGGGACTTGGTTCACTTGCAGCCTACTCTTCCTCAGAGAAGCTCAGGGCAGTCTACAAGGAGTGGGTCCCATTTCGTCCTTCCCTGAGGCAGGGTTGGCCAGCCCAGCAGATCATGATACATAAAACAGGACAGCAAATGACATTCCACCGCTTACCCAAGCCCAGGTGCATATTACGCAAAGCTGGTCAAGTTAATTTGGCACACAATGCAGAAAATCCCACAAGCATCTCTCCTCATCCCCTGAAGTAAAAAACAGATGGAATATCCACGTGGTGCCATTTCAGGCTGCCACCCAAAAACAGCTGTGTGAGAGCCTGTAACTGAGGCAGATACTACCTTGTAGCTTTAGTGTCACTGTGCACGATTCCTGTTAGGAGCTGTACATCAGGAGTGGAGGATTAAAAAGGGCTGGTCTTGCTGCAAACTAGGTTAGTCTGAGAGATGAAGCAGATCAAGAGTTCGTCCAGGGACCTTCATAGCTGGGACCTTTCAACCCTGGCTGCTATCTTATACACCACATCACCCTAGCTCTGTCTGATTTGCATGTAAATGGAAGATTTATTTATTTATTTATTTATTTATTTAGAAAATTTCTATGCTGCCCCATTCTCCGAAGCCTCGGGGCGGCTCACAACATAAATCAATTAACAATATAAAATAAGTTAACAATATAAAATAAGTCGCCCTGGCCAAAGAATAAAATAAATAAATAAATACTAGTAACAGTTAAAATGACGTTTGAATAAAAAGGTCTTCGCCTGGCGCCGAAAAACAAATAACGACGGCGCCAGGTGGACCTCTCTGGGGAGCACATTCCATAGGTGGGGCGCCACCGCAGAGAAAGCCCTCCTCCGAGATTCCACACCTGCAACCATTCTTTGTCTTTGAAACCAGTTTATCCAGAGAGTTTCTCAGTTTCCTGACAGATAATTTCATTTCTCTCCAGGGCTTTAAGGGAATGGATAGCAACAGGCCTTCAAACCACAAACAGCCAACACTGCCTTCAGTGAGAATGACAGATGCTTAGAGAACAGCAGTAGATCATTTTTGTGTATGTGTAATGTTACTTTGTGATAGAAATATGGGAAATGCCTTACAACTGTCTCTTATTTCAGTCTAATAGTGACTCATCTGAAGAAGGATATGGTGGAGATAGTTCAGAGGAAGAAGAGGAGGAGGAGGAAGAAGAAGAGGTAAGGGACATGTTTGGCTCTTGTCAAAATAAACCTAGAGACATAACAAAATAACCAGGATTGTTTTTATAGACTGTACTCTGTGAGTGTCCGTGGTGAGGATTACTAACTGCCCACAAGTTTCCATTTCGGTTTTCTGCTGTATTTTTGAAGCTCCGAGTTGTCTAAACAAGAAGTAATCCTTACGGACACAGTGAAAGCTTTTGTGATGCAAAGCTTTAGAGACAGATAGGACTTTTGTCCATTTATCCAAGCACAACTACTGTCATCATGAGGTGAAATTTTAGTAAAGTTCATCAGTGGTTCTTTAAATCCACAGTGGTTCTTTAAAAGGACACCTGAAGCCTTCACAACTTCTGAACACATCCCACAAACCAGGAATTACAACCTGGCAGGTGGTTCATAGCCTTTTTGTTTTTCTAATCCCTTGCAAACAACGAAACAGTAGATTTCTCAAACCCTTAGCAGGTCTCTATATGCACTTGATAGAGCATTTGCTGTAGTAGGATGCATTTTATATAGGCTTGAATTAAGGAGATCAGCAGCGTAGATCAGTGTCAGTACACACACTCTCCGTGCAGAAGGTCGGGGGTTCCAGTCCTCTCATCTCTGGACAGATCTTGGAGGGACATCTGCCTGATACCCTGCCAGTCAAGAGGGCAACTTCCTACGTCCCCAGGTTATTCAGAAGCAGATTAAAAGAAACTTGGGGGATCCTCATTTACATAATACACTGTGCTTGTATTCTTGGATACGAGCTCCTCATTCACACCCTTGGTGCCTGCACATTGAGCATGAACATCTGAAGAAGACTCCGGCTTATGTGAAGTGGCCCCACTGGTATGCAACATGGATGCCACAGGTGCAGCCTCACTTCATGGTCCTTCATGTGTATAATGTGTGAATGGGGTTATGGTTAAAAGTCTAAATGATGTGAAACTTATAAAGAAACTGTAGCTGATCTTACTTTGTACATCTTAGTCCACCTTTCTTAGTCTTCTTAGAAGATGCTTTAAGCTTTAGACAAAAAATTGTGACCTAAAGGTGGGAAGATGGTTGAATCAGTGCAGGGGAACAAGGGCTTAAATATCTGAAGTTTTTAAAATTGCATTTAATCTTAGTAAAATGTAGAGCTGAAAGATTCCCGTGTCAGATTAATTGATTTAAAAATATTTTAAGTGGCTAAAATGTGTCTTGGGTAGTTGTGCAGCGTATTTTTGAGAAAGTATTGAAATGAGTAATACTAGTAGAGACGTGTGAAGATTCCAGTTTAGAGATGGGAATCCATCAGACTTCCTCAGCTTGGTTTCCCAGACTCTGGTCTGCTTTCTCTCTACCTAAATCTGTCTCGCACTGAGTGTTTGTGTGGGTGTCTGGCAGGACATGAGTCCAAGCAAGTCTGTGAGGTCGGTTTGTGGACATGCCATCTGCTATCCATGCACTAAAGTGCAAGGAGACATGATTTGTCAACTGTGCACACTCTGGACAAAAAAATTGAATACTTTGCAAACTTTCTTGACAAGTATTCCTGAGCATTCGCCTCTTGACATTAACAAAACTAGCATGTCAGGGAAAAGATTCAAGATATGCAGTCCCCTACAGCTTTGCAGAATCCAGAAACAGAGTTATTCCTTGTCTGTTGCTGGTTACAGTGAGACTTAGGTTGGTCCCCTCATGTCAGTGGGCTTCAGCGACACCCTACATCCTTTGGATCATGCCCAGAACAAGACCCAGCTCCGTCAATCCAAAGGCAAGCCTGTCAAACTCAGAAGAGGCATCATGTTGGTAACGTGTGATGGCCTCTAACATAGCTCTGGGCCAGGAGTTCATTTGCAGTGTTTAGTGTTTTGCATCTTCGCTATATTAGTATTTACTTCTGGTTCATATTGGCTCTCCAAGAGAGATGATCTTCTAAGTAAATATGTAACTTGGTATCCATGCTATTTGGGGAGCACATATTTTACCTGAACGGACTATAATAGCTCCTTCAGTTCAGTACTGTGATGGTTTCTTGAGTCAATATACTCTTGAACACAAGTATTTATAAAAATGAAAATCTGGCTTAAATTGAGTGCCTTACTTTACAAGGGTGCCACTACGTTGCATTGTACAAGTATTTCTGGGCAGATGTATTCTCCCTTGTAAACAAAGTCCATGTATCCAAATGAAATGCTCCCATCTCATTTCCCTTTATTGCTTGGCCTTCAACCTGCTTCAAAGGGATCCTAAGTGTTTGCTCCATGAACAGAAGGAAGGATGGCTCATAAAAGTAGCCCTTCTGGACACTAGAATCCACACGCTTGACTCTGATCTCCATTTCTTTCCCATTCTACTACCTGTGCACTATGCTGCCAACTCATTACTGGATAACTCTCCCCTCCCTCTCCCTGCCTTCTGTCTGTGTCATTCCCCCATTGAACCTTCCTGACTTGCCCAGGTGCAATTCTCCCGTGCGAGTCTCAGCAGGAACGTTATATCTCTCCCATGCCTGGGTGGAGAAAGCTGGGAGTTACAGGGCATAATCTGTGCACAGGGCTTAGGGCCAAACAAAAAGGTCCAAGCATGTATAGGATTGTGCCTTAGCACAAGCAGAGCATATTAGCCTCAGTTCAGACCAGGACTGCAGACTCTCAGTGGGATTCTTTGCTCCCTACCCATTTTGTGATTTCAGGGCAAAAGGGAAGGGGGATGCTTACATCTCCTGTTCCAGAGTGCCACAGTTATGAAGTGAAATGGGGCTGATTGCAATTATACTGACCTAAATCAGCCAATGAAGCATCCTTTCTCTATGCCGAACTTTGGCCCTTCTGCATACCACTTGCAATGACGCAAGTTCTCGGCACAAGCAGCAAATAGCTCACCACCCACCCCCTCCCCGTGACTTCTGAATCCTCACCATGAGAATTTACTTCCTCCCTATCAGAAGATGGTCAAAACCCTAAAGTTTCAAATTTATTAAAAGATAAATAGCATTTGTGGTTGTTGCTTGAATAACTTCAATGACTGCCTTCAGAGTTTCCTTTTAAATTTGCCTTATTTATTTATTTATTTATTTATTTATTTATTTATTTATTTCTCTATTTATACCCTGCCTTTTTCCTACAAAGGGCTCAAGGCAGCTTACATCTCCTCCATCTTATCCCCACAACGACAACCCTGTGAGGTAGGTTGGGCTGAGAGTCTGTGACTGGCCCAAAGTCACCCAGTTGGCTCCATGGCTGAGCGGGGACTAGAACCCAGATTGCCTGAGTCCCGATCCCAGGCTCTTAACCGCTACGCCACACTGGCCCTTAGGAACATTAGCAGAATGGCCAGTAGCAGATCAAGTCTAGTCCACCTAGTCTAGCATCCTCTTCACACAGTGGCCAGCCAGTTGCTTACAGGATTCCAGAAGCAGGGCATGAGTACAACAGCACCCTCTTGCCCATGCTTCCCAGCAGCCACGGCACATCGGCATACTGCCATCAAGAGCGGAGACAACATAGCGCTATTGGGGCTGGTAGCCACTCCTGCAGGAATTCTCCCAGCCCCCTTTAAAGCCATCCAAAAAGGTCTTTATAAGCCAAACAAACACCATCAGTAAACCTGACTTTGCTGGCAACGCAAGTGACAGCAAAGTAACAATTTAGAGGTAAAACTCTACTCTCACACCACCCGCCACACTGTCATAACTATTCCATTGTGCGTAGAAGAGATAATTCTCTGTTCTTGTGAGGAGTGTGTGGGGTGACATTCGACTCAACGCGTGCTGATATATGTCGCAATCCAGCCCGTAATTCTTCTTTTCCCCAAAGGTGTGTAAGAAAACTGCTCTAAAACACATTTAGATTTAGATTGCTACATCTATGTCTTTTAATCTTAAAGGGGGTGAGGACAAGCTAAAATTGGGGTTTAAAAATAGAATAAGGGGAAATTGCTTTTGCAATGTGAGGTAGGTGCTTTCCTATATAGAACTCTTCTCTCATCTGGTCAAGCAACAAGGAGCAAGTTAACTCTTAGGTTACAAGAGGTCTTGCTGGTGAGATTTAAATTACAAAGAGGGCTGCAGGAATGGAGGTGCAATAAAGGAAAATTATTTGCTCCCTGTGGAAATCAGGGGTTCTTGAGCTTGCAGAATGGGACCTCTCTGTCTTCCCCTGCAGCCCCTCATGCCTTCCAGACCCCCTGTAGGGAGGGTCCCCTAGCCCTCTGGAGCAGAGCTGGGGGGTACATGGAAGAGGAAGAGGAGAGGGTGCAGAGTTCTCTTTCCACCAATGGTATCTGTTTTATGGGCTCAGTGATGACGTTGGATCCAGCCCTGTATTTTATGGTGCAGCAGAGTCTGCATGGATTTAAGCAGCTATCTGAAAGGTCCTGAAGTCCTTTAAATGTTGTTCCACAAAATCAGTAGTTCACTGAAACAATTTATGCAGAAACCTTTGAATTTTAGCCTTTTTTCTCATTGTAAGGAAGCCTCCAGCTGACTGTAGCAGCTCTTATTTCTGGCAGCTGCTACAGGGATCTAAAGAGCTACATCCCAGCCCCCTCAGCAGTGCTATCAATGTTTTCACCTCTCTTTACTTCTTCACACATCTTGTCCTCTTTGGACAAGGCTTTCCTTGTCCTTCTACTCTGCTGTCCAAAGAAGCTAAGTACTGCAAACGAGGACAGAAGTAGCCATAGTAAAGGGCTGAAAGAGGGCTTTTCAGATGATTGTGGTGACTGTCAGAAACAGTTGCTGCTATAGGCACCTGGGGGCTTCCATTTACAAGTTCCAACAGAGCAAAATTGGAAAGTCCTTCAAAATGTGCCATTGTATTTCTCAGATCTATTTACTCCCAGCAATGTTCTTCCTCGACATAAGGAGAACCTCAGCAACATTTAAATAAGCAACATTATAATTGCTGTTTTAAAGAGGTCATGATGCCCTCTGATAGCAATCCAAACAGTTAGCCACACCATGCAATTTTGCAAGTTTTCTCAATAGAGAAAAATAACATAGGTCTTTACTGGCATGGCATTGCATCTTATTTTAAGTGTTATGACCACCTGACCTAAGAACTGCTACACCAGCAGATAAACGCTGCACTTGGTCTGACCAGCAGCAATGCCAGAGCAATGTTGCCAGGCAGGACTCATGGCCAGCATTGGACTGTGGCTGTGCCAACCACATGGCAGCCGTGCCAATGCAAACATTTGTGATCATGGATTGTCCAGGACTCCAGATTCATTTTCTCAGTTCATCCTTCAAATATCCTGTATTGGAAGAAAGTGTCCTGTAGTACCATCTCTTACTGCAGCTAATTTAAATCTGTTAAGTGGTTTTGCACGATAATTTCACAAATAGAAATGGTGCCTACTAAAAGCAACTTTCCCCTCATAAATTGCATGTTTGGCAGAGCCCTTGCTGAGCAGCCCGAATCCTTGCAGAACAGTTGCAAAGCAAGGTACTTTGCACTGGACTAGCCAAGGTAGAAGGCAGGCCTTGGTCCATGTGCCACTCACTGCGTTTCCTCCGCAACTTTCACCCCCTCACAGCTTTTCCCCTAGTCATGGTGACAACTATTGCTCAAAGGCTTGTGTTTCGCGCTACAGCATCTCCAGAAGCTGAAACGGCGTCTCAGTTCTCCGATGCTTCTTTTATCTACAGGGACAGTCAAATGAAGAAAAGAATGGAGAAAAGGAAGGTGGAAAAGAAAATGGTGATGCCACAGAGGCTCCTACAGGACCAGGGACCGGGGATAAGAATGGCGTTAGCAATGCCAGACCTCCTAAGCAAGTAAGAGTGGTGGAAGCGGTGATCCCTGAGGATGTTACCTTGCTTCAGCAGCCCAGTGCCTCAAATTCTCCCGTGCAATGCGATGTTTTTCTCCTATGCCACTGCTAGAAGGGAGGATTTTAACCAGGACTGCAGCAGGGCTCACAAGTGGATGTGCTCTTTACCCAGTGCCACAGACCCAGCTCAGTCACATTCACACAGCCTTCTTCCTATGTATTAGAAGAAAACCTAAGAATTCAGCCACAGGTGGGGTCCACACCATGCCTACTGTGGCCCTCAGATTCCCATCTCCCAAGCCCCTCAGGCTCTGCATTATAATGAGGGAATGTCCCGGTATCTTCATAGCTTGTCTCCGAGCCTCTTCCAGGAGGGAGGGTGAAAGAGTTGGGCTCTCTTGCAGAGGGAGAATCAGGGCTGCCGTCAAGGGTAGGCATGACTGGGCAAATGCTGAGAGCTCAACGATGCCCCAGTAGGGGCACACTGGCAAGAGGCCCTGCAGTTGCTCCTCTTCCGCTGCACTGCAGCTGCCTCGTTCTCCTGCCTCTTATTTTGGCCCAGTCAATGATGGGAGTGAGAAGCAGGAACCATGAAGGAGGAATTGATGTTGGCCGGCCGGCAGGCATTCTGCCTATCAAGCAAGCAGATAACAGCAGTGAGGAGAAAGATGAGGAGCAACAGCAGCTGGTCACAATGACAGTGAGAAGGCAGGCTTGTAAAGGAAGGGCGTTCACAGAGTATGTTTCACCCAAGAGTCTCCAAAAACCTAGAGCTGGCACTTGCATGCACCAGTCATTGGGCAAAACTCGGCCTGCTCCAGAACACGACTTTTTATAACATCCCCACTTCAGTTCTATTCAGGAAAAATTGTACTTGGAATGCCATGCCTTGACTGCCCCTACCTGCTTTGGGTGCACTGTCCATTATTGGAGTTGAGTTTCATATAAGAACCATCCCTAAAATAATGAACCTAATGGAACTTTTCATAACAGTGCTATTCAGAACAAATTTGTACATTTTTATAATGGTTCTGTTAGGAATGCTGGACTGTGCGATTCAGGTTTAATACCTTTACTTATTGGGCAGATATGTTTGTTGATACTTTCACCCTTCTTGTCCACGACTATGCTATTTTTATTTTCTGAACTTATGCAGTGTTTCCTTCTAGGCCCTTGAGTCTTTTTTCCTAGAAAATTCATTATGAAAAAATCACACATTTATATACAAAATAATCAAAATGTGCCTTGAGCATGATAAAAATGGAATAATTATACATTGAAAATGTGAGGTTGTGCAGGATCCTAGCCTCAGAATAAGAAACAGTGCTTGGAAATTTCTAAAAAGTACTTTTGAATGGCGAAGTTTTATCATTCAAATGCTCGAGCTGATTAAATCCAGAAATGTATGGATCACATGGAGGCACATTATATCACTTTAACATCTGCACAACCCAATTTGAGGTCATACATTTTGACTGAGTGCTCCCCTTGTAACTGGAGTGTCTTCAATGTGCCAATGCAGGTGCCAGTAAGAGGAGAGCCTGTTCAGAAACCTGGGAAAGAAGGGGGTGCTAAAAATGCCGAAAAGGATAAAGCTCCAGAAAAAGGTGGAAAGAAAGAAGAAGAGGAAGAAGAAGACAGTGATGAAGATGAGGAAGAAGAAGAGGAAGAAGAGGAAGAAGAGGAGAAAGTTGATGAGAATGGTAGTGGTGTGAACGGGACAAGCACCAACAGCACTGCAGAGGAGAATGGAAACGGTGGTCAAGCTGAGGAGGAGGAGGAGGAGGAGGAGGAAGGAGAAGAAAAAGAAGCAACCACAGTTGTTCTCACCACACTGCTCAGCACTGCCGTCCCCACCACAGAGTATCAGGACCATTATGAAACCACCCAAGACAGGCAGTATGAGACATCTCCTAGAGATCAGTGGCTCTCTGACACCACGACTGAAGACCCATGGGCTTACGATACCACCAGCACTGGCTATGAGGTTCAGTCAGAGTACCATGGGAGTGAGAATGGGTACCCCCGGGGGGACACGTTTAGAACATATGAGGACGAGTACAGCTACTATAAAGGGCATGGGTATGATGTTTATGGCCAGGATTACTACTACAATCAGTGAAGAAATTAAGCCATACCTTGGCACAGTTAATAGTATTTATTATTTTGCATAGCCATTATTCCCAGGGGTCTACTCAGGAAGGTGCATCACAACATAACATGGTTCTTGTTAAGCAAGATAGAAGATTAATATTTGGTAGTACTGCTAACTATGCAAAAGTGCTCTTTTTGTCTGTTTTTAAATGTGTTCAAATATATTCACATATCCACTGTGGACTCTTGTAGGGTTTGTAGATTTTTTTAAAAATCATGGAATAGATGGATATGATGTGTCCAATGGAATTATGATCAAACTGAAGTTTGTTGCATTACTGTATTTGCTCAATCCATTGTTTATATTAAAGCCAAAAGAAGTTTTGAAACAGTGAACAGACTAGATTTGCTCTGAGTAAAAATAAAGAAGAATTACACGTCAAACAAACTAACTTCATTTGTCCTGGTGTTGCCTTTGGAAAATTTGGAGCATCTGCTGGGTTTTCCATGGTGACCCAAACTTACGCCTGGTTAGCTTTAACAATATACTTCATCAAGGAAAAAGAAGATGATTGTAGGGTTGGAAAGAGACAGAGGGCACCCCATGAAACCTCACTGAAACAAGAGATAAGCATTTGGACAGTTTCTCCCTCGCTGTAAAAGGTTGAAATGCCTCCTCTATATCAGTGGTAAAAGGTTGAAGCTATACTGTGTTATTGTTTTTTTAACCTCAGCCCAGTGTCCTTCAGTCCTGCCCAGTCAGGAATGCAGACCCAAGGCATCCCCTGAAATAGGATTTAGCCATTGAAATAAGGGGGGTTCTGGATCCATGACGCATCATGTGCACCCCCCTTTTATCAGATTTATCCCTAATGAAAGCCACACACTATCTGAGATCCCAACGTTAGCCACATGCATTTTTTATATAATTATCCTTACATCGATACTCTGCCTTTTTCCCTCTTGCAAGGAACTCAAGGCTCCCTACCTGATCCTCCTGCTTGCCATTTTATCCTCCTAACAGCCCTATGAGGTAGGTCAGACTGAGGGCCAATGACTGGCCCGAACTCACCTAGTGAGTTTCAGGGCCAAGTGGGGACTAGAACTCAGGTCTTCCAAGCCCCATTTCAAAACTCTAACCATTGTCCCACACTGACGGTCTGCTTCGGCTGGCTTGCTAAGCAGAATACCAGGCTGTCATGAAAGGTATTTATTTATTATTTATTATTTATTAAAACATTTCTATGCCGCCCCTTGCCGAAGCCTCGGGGCGGCTCACAGCATAAAATAAGGGCTAACCCCTGCTACTGTTCAAGTATACTATCACCTCTCTCTCTCTCTCTCTCTCTCTCTCTCTCTCTCTCTCTCTCTCTCACACACACACACACACACACACACACACACACACACTTCCTGATGTAAGTAAAATCAGAGACATGCAACATATCATGTCCAATATTCATGAAAATGTTTGAAAACTAAGCAGCTGATTTATGCCAAGAGGAAGTCAGTCTAAACACTCACACAAGCAGACCCTGTACAGCATAATTTATTAAATATTCCTTAAGGTCACCTGCTAACCAGGAGTGGCGCCATTCCGTGTTTCACAGGAGAACAGATTTGGGCAGGGGGAGGGGAATTCTCAGCATGATTCAAGGGCTCCTGGATGCAAACTAAATTCAACTAAAAGAAAATGGTGCATATTAACACCATGCCATGGTGGTTGCTTTTAAAATTTATAATAAACCAAGCTGTATATTCTCTCAAAGAATCATAGAACAGTAGAACTGCAAGGGACCAGAAGGCCATCGGGTCCAGCCCTCTGCTACAGCAGGTCACCAAAACACCTTCCCATTTGGATGACTGTCCAGTCACTTTTTGAATGTCTCTAGTGAGTGAGAGCCCACAACTTCCCCCTGTAATAAGTTCCACTGTCATACTGCTCTGACAGTGAGGAAATTCTTCCTGCTGTCTAGTGTAAATCTGGTTTCTTTTAACTTAAGTCTGTTCTTCCATGTCCTGCACTCTGTAATAAACAAGATGAGATCTTGCCCTTCCTCTTTGTGACAGTCCTTGAGGTATTTGTAAAGTGCTATCATATCTCCCCTCAGTCTTTTCTTGAGGCTGAGCATGCCCTGTTTCCTCACAGAGCTTTTCCTACAGTCCCTGAATCATCCTTTTTGTCCTCCTCTGAACCCTTTCTAGCTTCTCTGCATCTTTTTAACACATGCCCAGTGCTGGACGCAGCACTGCAGAAGGACCAGTCCTGTCCCTGGCTAAATGGCACCTCTCCTTCAGGTGCAAGATCTTTCTTCTTCACACTTTTCATGTCTCAACATGGTCAAGCATTAGTAAACATTACAGAGGAACTGTAGAGCCAAGAAAACTTGTTTGCTTGTGTACTTATACACATGTCCTTACCCTGCAAACACTATGTCAGCCTTCCCCAACCTGGTGCCCTCTGGACAACAATTCCCAGCCTTCCTGTTCATTTCCATGCCGGCTGGGGCTGACTGGAATTGAATTCTAAGACATCTAGAGGGTACCGGGTTGGGGAAGATGGTTAGATATATTCACTGTGGGGAAAGACAAGTGAATAAATTTGTTTCTAAGGAAACAAAATCCTGTTTTTATTCAAAACAACCTCCTGGAGTAAGCATGAGAATCTTTCAGTAGAAAAAAATGGTTTGGAATGCTATGGGGTTGTGGATTTAAAAAATCAAAGGAAGTATGTCTCAATTACCACCAGGCTAGTTTCATGAGCAGCACCTACGGCCCTGGTTTAAACACAGAAACAAAGGAAGCTGCCTCAAACCAGGTCAGACACTGGGTCCATCTAGCCCAGTTCTGTCTTCCCTGACTGGCAACGACTCTCCAGAGTTGCAAACACTTTCCCAGGCATGCCTGGGATGCTGTGGGATTGAACGTGGGACTTTTTGGTATGCAAAGCTCAACCACTGAGCAGTGGCCCTTATGTTTAGACCAGAATGAGGTCAGGAAGCAAGAAGACTTCCCAACTGTACCGTTAATTCAAGGTCATTGTCTAGACATATGCCATAATCAAATATCTGCTAGATCCTCCCTGCAATTTGACAGCTAGTTCTTAGCAGGTCTGGTCAAAATAGCATTGGAAGGGTAGAGATCAGGTGAGAGATGAACGTAGGGTAGCAGAAACAGTAGAACATTCCTTTGCCCAGGCACAGAGGGCCAATCAAGAGCTTTGAAAATAGAGGCAATGCTCAATCAACATGTAATATTGTTTCAAGGCTTACGCCTGGATTCTGTATAGCATTCAGAGGAAAGAAAAGCCCACCAAAGTCTAAACTAGTCTATGGTCCCAGAGGCCTTAAGAACATCAGAAATACTATTTTGGTCTAATCTGGGGGGTGCCTACTTTTCCCAAGGCGGGAAATAAAGATTTATGTGAAGATGTGCTTCCTTGTAGTTTGTGTTTGTTGTGTTAGATCAAGGTCAGATTTTGCCAGACCTGGTGTTAGGACCATGGAACATCAGGTAAAAACCTGCTTGGGGTTTCTGATAGAAATGAATATAGGGCAATTATTTTCAGTTTCACCTTGGCTGAGAATTTCAGAATAGTCCAACCTTGCCTAACTTGCTGCCCACGTCTGTTAACAGGCTATATGCCAGTCAGGGGATGCTGGGAGCTGTAGTCCCACACATTTGGAGGCTCTCAGCTTGTGGAAAGCTGAAATAGACTATTCAGTATTAACAATGAGCGGATGCTCAATAATTCAAGTATATTAATCATTTCCCCTGTGATATTTCATATTTCACTTCCCGCTGATGGCATAATGATGACATACCCCAATAAAGCAGCTGTATAACAGGTCATTACTATTTTAATGAAAGCTACAAACTTCAGAACTAGATATATTAGCAAATCCACCAGCATTTTCTGGAAGCCAATTAGCGATTATGGGCAGATCCCTGGAAATATTTTATCTCCCCTGGTCCATGCTCTATATTAATTCTAATTTTTCAGCATGTTTCACACATTATGCTTTCATGTGATTGCCGTGCGGCTACCCTGGCAATCAAGTTTTGTGTTGTGTTTTGTTGTGTTGTGTTCTTTTTTTTTTCTTTTATCCAGCAAGGCATCTTATCCTTTATTTTAATTCTGCTAAGTCTGTGGGTATATTTACTTACCTTCTTTCAAATTTGCTGGGTATATCTGAATACCTGAGTAAAATAGGGCAATTAGTCTCTAAAGTTCCCACAGCAGTTCTTCTCTGTACGTTCAATAAAAGCAGCAATTACAACAAATTAGGCAAAAAGACCTTTCCAGAAGTGAAACACACAGAAGATAATAACTCTGACTCACTCCTTTTAACTGAATCATCTTCCATTTAAGACCCATGATAAATAAGCTGGAGGTTATAAAACAAAACATGGAACTATGCATTAAAAGGACACTGGGCTTCCACTGAAAATGGCAGCTCTGCCCATCCGCTCTGTAACATCAACTTACCCCAGGTCCTGATTTCACAATAATGTATGCTTTCTTCAAAGGGATACAGGCTAGAGGAGAAGGGGAGGGTGAAACACAGGGCTGCCATTTGCCATGGAACATGGCGCATGACTGCCATTAGAGTGGCAGCTCTGTGTTCTGTTCTTCAATACACACACACACACAGAGTTCTGCCCATATAGTTACATGAAGAACTGGAAGCTCCTCTCACAAAAGGACAGGCTTATTATCAGGCACCTTAAACTGCACAACAGATATTTATAACCTTCGTTCTGTTTATTCCACTAGATGGAACATTAGATGGCTGGCTTCCACCACAAAAACTTTTTTAGAGTCAAAGGTGCCCTCCTCCAGTTATCTGTGGGCAAGTGCTAAAACCAGTCGGAGCTGATTGGCCATTGCTATTGTAATATACTTTAAACTTCAGCAAGTTCTCTGCAGATGTCTGCTGGAGATATCTGGCCTTCAGGAAACACAAGGTAATGTCCACAGTTGCTTCCATCCTGTAGCAATCTGCCTTTGCCTTTGACTCAGCTAAATGCCTGCTCTGCCTGCCACCCTTCAGCTCTGCAGAGTGATTTCTAATTCAGCTGCTGACGAATGGAAAATTGAACTGAGGATCAAATATTGAATCTGCTGGTTTTATTAGTAAGAACATACCTCTGGTTAAAATGATGGCACTTCAAATTTCAGGGTTGTAACCTTCCTCTTAAAGCATGCAGAACTTTGCTTATGGC